CATAAAACAAACGGCACTGAGCCACCGGCATTTTCCAAACAACATTAAAACATGAGAATGAAAACATCGGCTAAAGGCCAGAAAAAATCGGCAGAAGCCAACAGCGTTTTATGTCAAATTTAAACTTAAATAAAGCATAAAACAAACGGCCGTGGGCCACCAGCATTTTGCCAAACACCATTAAAATATGGAATGAAAACATCGGCTAAAGGCCAGAAAAAATCGGCAGTAAGCCAACAGCGTTTACGTCAAATTTTAAACTTAAATAAAGCATAAAACAAACGGCACTGAGCCACCGGCATTTTTGCCAAACAACATTAAAACATGGAATGAAAACATCGGCTAAAGGCCAGAAAAAATAGGCAGTAAGCCAACAGCGTTTACGTCAAATTTTAAACTTAAATAAAGCATAAAACAAACGGACGTGGGCCACCAGCATTTTGCCAAACACCATTAAAATATGGAATGAGAAACGTTGGCCAAAGGCCAGAAAAAGTCGGCAATGAGCCAACGGCGATCACACCAAAATATTAAAGTTAAATAAAACAATGGCCTAAAGGCCATAAAACGAAACGGCACTGAGCCACTGGTAATTAAGTAGTCCAAGTAATTAAAATAGTGAAAATGCTATGTCAGAAACATGAAGAAAAAAAAAGCTACATCACTTCAATAAGTGAATTTTGAACAACAACAAAAAACTGAACCAGCAAATTGACAAAGGGTAAAATAGTCTTGAACAGAACATATTAGGGAACATAACAATTAATCGAAATAAAATGTCTTTGCCCACCAAAGTTAACCACTACTTAAAGTAGAGGCTGATGCCAGACATCTTGAAGCAGTTATTAAGCGAGTTTGCGAAAGCTTGATATAAACTTGATAGGCCTCACTTGACCAGCGACCAAGTGCCTTTATCAGATATTCAGGGAAGCCTAAAGAGGCAGCCGTAGAAGCAGCCCCTACACGAAAGGTGTGCAGCGTGAAACGACCATTCCAGCCAGCTGATAATAAAGATTTCTGTAGCCAACTGTTAAGTCTATTCTTAGTCAAGAAGGCACCATTCGAAAACAGGAACAGTGGACCAGACCTTTCTCCACGAAGACGAATATATGTCATAAGGGCTGTTACTGGACATTGTCAGAACGGGCAAGTAAAATTGAGCAACCTTTGCCAAACTGATCTATCTTAGACCTGGACAATGCAATAGATACAACTGATGGAACAGGCATCTTGTCTACAGATATCTTATCAAGAGATAAATGCAACCCTTCTGAAAAATGGTTTGAAGGGACAGTAAATTCGGCTGCCCTTAAGAACCCGAAAAAGGCAGTACAACATGCAGCCCAAAGCATAGCATCGTCAAATTTTGTCAAATCTAACTGCACTTTGATGGTATGTAAAATCAAGGCGGCAATTGGAAGCTTAGTTGCTGCGGCATTTGAGCTTTTCACTCTTCGCAATCCTCTTACAACTAAAGGAATACGATGAAGGTTTTGTAAAGGATCCGGGTATCCTTCCGCTATATGTAAAGCTCAAACAGCGGCGAGATAAACTTTCAGAGTTGAAGCTTGACACGTTTTGCCAGCTTTGCCAATAAAACGCAGCAGTGTAAGCTCAGAAGCAGGACAGGGAGAACCATTGTCGTGTAAAAATTCATTTTGCTGGCAAAAGGTAATAAATTGCTTTTGAGCAGACGAATAGGTTTTCCTGGTATTTACTGACAGTGACTGTGCTAGGAGTGTTTGCCATGACTCGTCCAAGGTGGAAACAGCAGATGCTGAAGGAGACCCTCTGGGATTGCGATGGAACTTGTATCCGCAGTTGGGACAGCTCGAAAGAAAGCCTGAAAATCAGAACGTGACAATGCATCAGCTTGTTCATTACGGGCACCAGGAATATGTATTGCAGTAAATGTAAATGAATGCAAAATGGCTAGTATTGTCAACTCCCTCAGCAAGAAAGCCAGGTGGCGGTCCTTACAACTGCCTTGTCTTAATAAGAGGACTACAGCCATGTTATCACAGCGAAAAGCTATGCGCTTCCTGGACCAAGTGTTTCCCCAAATATGGGCCGAAAGAACGATAGGGATCAGCTCTTTTGAAGCAATATTGATAGATAAAGCCTCAATTGGCCAAACGCCTGCAAACCAATGAGTCTCATAAATGGCTGCAAAACCGATGCTGCCTGCAGCATCAGAAGTCACAGATATTTTCGGTGCATTTTCCCAAGTAGGAAAAAAAAATAAGCTTTTGCCATTCCAAGATTGTAGGAGCTTAAACCACCATTTAATATCATCTTGTTCCCAGCATGACAGTTTAACAAAATGATGAAATTCCGACACAGAATGAGCACGATCAATTAAACGTCTGAGAAAGGGCCTTCCTAACACAATTGCCTGGCAACAATGCTGCAAAAGGCCAATTAACGAAAGTAATTCACGCTTTTTTCCAGTTTTGCGATTTTTCCAAACAGAAAGCTTAGCACGAACTTGGACAAGTTTTTCTTGAGGCAACTGCAATTCTTGTTTAACAGAATCAAGCTTGAAACCTAAATAAGTAATGCAAGTTGAAGGACCCTCTGTTTTATCCTGAGCGATGGGGACACCCAATGTCTCACAAAGCGAGAAACATGCCTCGAGATGTCGCTTACAAATATTGGAATTTGGAGGACCAACTAAGAAAAAATCATCCAAATAATGTTGAAGGTTTGAGACACACACCTCATTCTCCAATAAAAATTGCAAGGCATCAGGGAAACGGGTAAAAATCTTTGGAGCAGAGCGAAGACCAAAACGGTAGTGCTAAATCAATGTAGAATTTACCCTGCCATTGCATACCAAGCATATGGCGCTGCTGAGATTTAACTGGTAGCAACCTATAAGCACGGCGTATGTCGAATTTTGCAAGCAGTGCCCCTTTTCCCAGTGGAATAATCAAGTCAATAGCCTCTGGAATACCTGTATATGAGACCTCTGCTTGCGAGTCAGGTATCAAGTCGTTAACACTACAATGGCGTGGAAAAGATAAATCTGTAATTAAGCGAAAAGTGCCAGGGGTACTTTTAGGAATAACTCCAAAACGATTTATATGCAAATCTGAATAAGGAGGCACATCTAGTGGGCCTAACATAGTACCAAAGTCTGTTTCTTCTTGGAGATAATTAGTAATAATATGTGGTTGAGTAGATGCACTCAGGCAATTTCTAGTTGCTGATTTAAGTACACCATCAGAAGTACCGATATCAAAACCAAAGCGGAGGCCACGTAAAAGCCATTGTTTATCTTGATAATCATAGTTAGACAGCAGTAAATTCCAAAAATAATAATTAAGTGGTGATATGGCAAGAGGCAATGGCAGCGAATATAAATTCCTGTCAACAGTAAGTAATTCCAGTGGGGAGAGTCACTTGGGTTGGGCTCTCTTGCGTGAACCTTGTGGTGCTGGCCCGCCACTAAAATTAGATTCAGATACCGCTGGGGGAAGACATGGGACCTGTGTTTGACAGTTTTTCTTTTTGTGGGCACCACAACAAACAGAACAAACATTATGAGCATAACGACAGCGTGCCATTGTGCATTCACCATCATTCCACTTAAAACAGGGGAGAGAGCTCTTTGAAGCAGTCATGCTATTTCCCTCTCTTATGCTGTTCTTTAGTGAGCCTTGGCTTAGAACGGTTGTCATCCAAAGGGTAGGAATAACCTCCCCCCAATTTTCTGAAGGATTGTTCACTACCTGTTTACGAAAAGCTGCATCATATTCAAGCCAACCAGACCCTGGGACATCCCTAGACGCTGTGGAAAGCAACAGAAAATAGCTAATGAGGCTGGAAATATTTGCTGTGGCATCCTTTGCCAAAACACCCACATAGACTGCCCATGCTTCAGACCAATCTGCAAATGTGGTTATATTTTGCAGATCAGAACGGAGCAGCTTGGACAGTTGGAATTGACTAGGCTCCTCAGTTGGCAGCTTCTTCAAATTCTTAGGCCCGAGTAAATTAAAGTCTACATATTGACCTGCCTGAATTTTTGAAACCAAATAACCTGGCACTGGCTGCACAGCAGTAGACACAGAGCATGCGACCTGTGTGTTAGCTGCAGACTGAGGCACCATATTAATAGGCTCAACATTTACTGAGCAGGTTGGGTTATCAAAAACCATGCTAGGGCCCTGAGCAAGCAAAGATGAACACTGAGGAGGAGGAATCACTTTCAAAAACGAAGGGGCAGACGCAGGATGCTCCTAGCTTTCAGGTGGCGGGTTGACATTATCAGCACGAGTTGCTAGGCCACTTTATACTTCGTAGTTCAACTGTGTCTCTGGTAAAACCACTTCACTTTACAATTGAAATGAACAAAATCCTAATCCAAGGTAGCCGCACGGCTAATAACGAAAACTGAAATCCAATTGAACTGGGTTTCCCAAAAGTAATAAAAATCCAAGAAAACAACGCTTGAAACTTTAATCTTGACTTTCTAGAGGTTAGATCACCATGTGACTGGAAGATCGTGCCACTCAGCACGACATGTCAAGTGACCCAAACCCATGCTCCTCCCTGGTGGCATTAACTGCTGTTAAACCTCTGCGCGTCTAACAGATATTACCCAATGTCAAACTAATGACCAAGCTTAAGAGTTCTGCATGTCATCTTTGATGAATTCTTTTCTGAAAAATTTTCTTATTGTGCTACTATTTCAAACGTTGAGACATATTTCTAACTGTGGGTGGATGACAGCAAATAGGTACATATCAATGTTGCAAAAATATACAAAAAACACCAGGCTGAAAGTGTACTTCCAGAGAAAAACCTGTACGCAAGGGTAGCCTGTTTTTTCTCTCAGCTTCTCTTTGTGGAATTATCATTCTTTAAAAATTTGTCTAATGTGTGCAAATATTTTGTTTGGTGTTACTGAGGTATCATCATTGGAAATGTGGTAGTTTTTCAAAAAACTGTTTTTATCTGTGAATATCTGGCTGATATCATCTTTCTTGTCTTTAAGTCAGTGGATGGCCAAGTAGATCTACAAGAAGTACTCATTCAGTTTTGGAGGGTTGACTTGAAAGGATTTTGCAGTGTTGTTGCCATACAAGCTTGTTAAAGCATTTCTTAACAATGCACCAACAACATAAAATTTTCCAACAGAACTGAGGCCAATCTTGAGATTTTTTCATGAAATCCAAAAACTTGAAGTAGTTGATGATGTCCCCAAACAGCCATTCAACAGAAATTCGGACTTCGCTCATTGATTGGTTAAAAGCCAGCTCATTTGGTGCGAGTTCTGCTTTTCTTGCAAACGGTCACTGGATGTGAACAGGATGTGGGTAAGCAGGGTCACTATAAATGCAAAGAGCAACACCATCTGGGGAAGAGGAGGGTTGTTCCAGCTGCTCCAATAAACCAGACATTACAAGCAGCCTGCTGTCATGTCTTCTACCTTCAACAGGTCCAAAAAGGTTAGCAATCATGCCATTTTGAGCCCCAACTGATTGAAACTTGAGTGCATGAACCCTTTGCCCATTGTAGACAGCTCTTTGATTCCTGGTTGGCCTGCATATAGGCCTGAAAGTGCCATTAAAAACCCCCAGCATTTGTCAAATGCAGCACCTTTGTTGTGTACTGCATCAGCAAATGACTGGAGACTCTATTGAAGGCCATGGTTGGTTCAGGTCGCTCAGTAGATTGGAAAACCTGTCGAAGATATCATCAACTACCAAGTTGAAGATCATGCATAGCTGCGGAACAGGCTTTCCGAAACTTGGGACTAAATCCGTGTAGCGACAGGGATACACGAAACGCTTCAAAGAGACATAAACTGCCGAACGGCGTCTACAATTACACCATTAAACCTCTGGCAGATGAAGGGCTTGTACAAGGTTGTAGATGTCCTGTTTCTTTAAGCCCATTTCAACAGAGCACTCCTCTTCGGCCATATCTTCCAAACTAAAACGCTCATCCAGGAAGCATTTACTACAAGACCAGCTTTTATAACAAGCTGGTTTTCATGTTGATTTTCGGCAATATACTTCTGTAAAGCAACTTGGCCAACCATAAGTTCTGAAAGAGGTTTGTTCCTATTCAAAATTTGTTTTTCATCTGTGAAATGCTGCAAAGAGATTTGGCAGATTTTGTAAATGATCTTTGAATTGTGCTGAAATGGTCTTAATTACCAATCAATTTTCATCATTACAATAGTATTATTATTCTCTTCAATGATTCATGATACATTTGTGTGTCAGTCTCAATCGTAAGAAGCCTCTTAACCTTAAACGAAGTATTAACACCAATTTATTTCAATTCTTATTTCCACTTGCTAGTCCTTATCTTGTTTTCTACACAAAGTTTACCTTCATTTGATGCATTTGGTTTCTTTTTCTAGAGTCTATGATAAACTTTTCGGAAAATATGGTCCGAATATTGACATGAATTATACAATGTGATTGCCTGGCTGTCCCTCGGCTGAACTGCATTTATGCAAGAAAATTTGTGTATAAATGATAATGAGATGAAAAGTTGTTCCGGGAACAATGAATGTTACCTTTGATGGTTTTAATCCCTTTTGTCATCATTCTGAAAACGTTTCCATGACTCTCCGCCAAATGACGGTGCAAGTCTTTTATGAAAAAGCATTTGTGAGTGCAGGTGAGGCATATACATCCACCTTCCTCGGCTGAGTTGACTGCTTTGGGTCCATGTTTGGAAAGGGATGTGTCTACGAAGGTTAAAACTTCTTTAGGTTGAATTTTAGCAACGTTTGCAATGCAACACTTGACTTCTCTTTTCCTTCAGTGTACTTTGCAGCAAATCATTGTTTTTATTTTGGTCCAATTCTGGCACGTTATTATTATCAGTGAGAGGAAGACACTTTGGTTGCACAGGATCCTTGGAATCATCGGTCGAAAACTCTACCAATTCTGCATCGTGTTCTTCCAGTGTTTCAATTGACAGCTCCAAAAAATTAACAGCAAGATCATTGTTAAGAACGGCAGTCAGAAGATTTCCTTCATCACAACATTTCCTTCATTTATCCAAGCCATGATTACTTTTCTAAGATGCTTTACCAATCAGGTAGGGTTGGCAAGGAAAATGTCTGAATCTTTGTCGTCAGCACCATGTTTACATTCCATCATTCTGGTAAAGTAGCCAGGTTGTAAACAAGCAACAGACAACATCATAGCTGCAATAACATCACAGATATTGCCATCTCTTTGCAGTGGATAGTGCTGCAAATAGGTCTTGGAGCAATGCTGAGCATGTCCCGAGGATGAGGACGTATGACATTCAATAACATACATCTCTGGCCTATCTTTTTTAAAATAGCTACGAAAAATCCTTGAACCTCATCTTTCAGCTGCTCTGGAGGGGGCCATCCAAGCAAATCTCTGTAAATTATAGCATTTTTCTAAAAAATACATTAATGCCAAAAAGAGAAGCTTTGTTTTACAGACTTATGAAACAAGAGTCATAAAATAAAAAAGCATAATTCAAAATGTTAATAAATTAAAACATTTTTAGTTTACTTAGATTACTGACATATTGCAATTGAAAATTGTTTTGATGCCATCCACCTCAAGATTATGTTAACTTGTTCAATTGAAAGTTAATCCCATCTTCTAAACAGCACAGATGCCTTCCTTTTCCGTGCTCAGACAAAGTGTTAATACACTAAAAGGTACCAAATAAGCTGCAGACTTTACCCAACAAACACCTGTAAGCACAATACTTTGGCCAAACTATAAGGAAGCTTTGACCAAAGATTCTACCATAAGGAATTTTCAGGGCAGCAAGTCTTTACCAAGAACTAAGAACATTGATTTTTTCATGTTTATCTCTTCTCTCGCACAATAAAGAACCCAATTTATTAATTTTGAGTTTCTTCTCTGATCTGCTCACAAATTAACTGCCCCTCCCTTCACTTTGGCAACCAAAGGTGATAACACAACTAATGAAAAACCCATATTAAAGAGGGGAAAGAGTTTTACAACGCGAAAGAGTTTTAAATGGGTCCTTTGTCATTAATAAAATTGCAATTTCTAGGTGTTCTTGTGGTCACTGTCAGATCATGCCAAAAGCCACCGAATGCATCTGCTGCCAGGAAATCCCAGAAGTCAGTCAGAAGCTTGAAAAAATTGGCGAATGTGATCAAGGGAATGACAAGAGCAGCTGCATAACAGATACTGATGCTCTCTGTGCTGTATGCTTGAATAAATGGGTTCTGCAAACTGCATTTTATCAGTATATCTATCAGTACAACGACCATTATGAAGATCTTCAGCATAAAAAAAACAGGCATGTTGCATATCGCCAGCTTGCCAGATGGTGCTAGGGCTTTCTTGGTTGGGAGATACAGGTTGTCCTGCCTGCTTGTGCTGTCTGTTGTATCGGAGTGTCACGATACCCCCTTTTTCTTCATTCATTTAGATATATTTTTTTCATTCTATTGTCATCAAATAGTTTGGTTCTTTTAGTTTAGCTGATCTTTCTGAATCAGTTTAATGACTAACTTCTTTTACATTGTTTCAGCTCTACCTACGTCTTATTCTCGTTTTCTTTCCTTTACCGTATCTACTTTTAGTACATCACTTGGTTGTTTTTCTTACATTGTATCATTGCTAAAGCTTATATCATGTTAGTCACTTTTCCTGTTTTTCTAAAATATTATTGGTTAAGTTTTTCACATGTTTCCGCGTAGCTTTTTAATTGAACAGTAGTTTGTAATTAGAATTTAACTTAGCAATGTTGATTGAATGAAAATGTTAATGTGAAACTTTTATTACATCTTGTAGTTTTCTATACCGCTCAAGCCTGATTGCCCTTCACAATTGGTGACAGTTGGCTGGAATTTTTGATTAAATAGGGCCTAAGTGAATGAATATTTAGGTACCTAGCCTTCAATGGTCAGCAACAGAAATTGAGCCACTAAGGATAAGATTGACAAGGATGGCAACTGAGGAAAATGCATCACCTGGCCCCAGCACATCGCAATGATTTGACCCTTCTTTTGGAAGCAAGTCCATTTTGATGCAGCCCGACAAATTTTATGGGTATCCCAATGACGACATGATTGATTGGTTCGCATCGTTTGAGAGGATTGCGAGAGCCAACGAATGGGATGCAGAAAAATCCGGTAGAATGGTTTCTGCGTTTTTGAGGGGTCCTGCTGGAGACCATTTTGAAAAAATAGAAGAAGTAGACAAGACGAATTTCCGCGTAATCAAGCAATTGCTGATTGACTGATTCAGCCTGGCAGATATGAGGAGGTCTGCATATAGCTCCTTGGCTGGAAGGAATCAAGGAAAGAGGGAAAGTGTGAACAAATTTGCTTCATTCATTCCAAGATTGGTTTTACTGTCTTTCCTGCCTTAACGAGCTAATTGAAATAACAGCCTGTGAGCATTTCATTTTGGGACTAAGACCACAATTATTGAAAAGAGTCACGATGGCGGATCACAAAACATTCAATGATGCCATTAGAATTGCCCTAAGAGAAGAGAGTATGGAGGAAACTGAAACAGTTTGTGCTGAGGAAACACAAACTAATGGGCAAGTCAAAGAAATTATTAGGCTGTTGACAAAGATATTAAACGAAAAAGGACCCATAAGTAACAAATATTTTGACCGTAGAAAGAATTATAATGGCACCAAAAATAAGTTTGCAAGAGATGGTTGTCCCATCTGCAGGCTATATAGAAAGATATTGCTGGAAAAAGTATCCTAAAAGCAAGCCTGGTGCAAATAATTTCGTCAAGAATACGGAAAACTAGAACCTGCTGCTGCACATAGAGGTCAGCCAGGAGTAATTTCAAAACCTCTACTGGTTCTTAATAGAGAGCAATATTCTCCTTCTGTTAAAGAAAATGATTTTTATGATTATGATAATTAAAGTAAAGATTTTATACAACCTTTAGATGTATCTCGTATGACGCAAGAGATATTATTATGTGGCCCAGCAAGTATTATTGATGGTTTTAATCATGACGTGCCCACAAAAATACTAGTTGATATGGGTGCGTCCATGAGCATTGTCAATCAAAGAATTCAACAGACGCAGTTTCCGCATGTTGTTCTCCACCCAGGGATTGTGAATGCTACGGCCGTCATGGGGGATCCTGTTAAGTTTAAGTTGTGTTCTCCGAATCGCTACAGTTAGAGAAAAAAGTAGTATTCCAGGATTTTTATGTATTGCTGGGTTTTCAGGACAATTGTGTGCTTGATACAGATTTTCTTGCGCGGGCAGGCATATCCATTAATATGTCAGACCGAACATTGAAATGGAATTCTGAGACAATTTTCTTTGCCACAGATCCACCGGGCACTGTTTGGAAAATTTCTTTAATTGAGAGGGTAGATATACCTCCAAGGTCCTAGTTATTTACAATGTTGCCAATAGGCCCATGTTGTTCGACAGGTTTATTTGAAATAAATGACTCACTTTATCAATCTTTGAATGTTTACACTGCAAGGTCGCTTGTGCAGCCTCAGCGAGGGAAATCCCTGTTAAGTTAGTAAACCCTTGCTTGGTAGTAGTAACTTTAAAACCCAATGAACATCGGTGAACTGACGTCCATCATTTATTCAGCTCATACGTGATTAGTCTGTAAAGACAATAGCTCTGTTCTCGACAGTATTAGCCTACAAAACGATTCCTTGTCAGACAAACAACAAGTTAAAGAACGTTTTAGGCAAATACATACTGTTGACACGTAAGATAATGCCCCGATTTCGTAGCAACCATATCATGTCCCAGTGGCAAGGTTAATGCGATAACACATGTGTTAATGCGATAACAGTGGTTTTCTCAAGGTTAATGCGATAACACATGTGTACCCTTTTGCAGCGCATCGACGAAACCTTAGATAGTTTACACTATTGATATTGGCACTCGTTATTTTACAACCCTAGATTTAGCTCCAGGATATTGGCAAGTACCCCTTAAAGAGGTAGATATGCCTAAGATTGCTGTTTCTCATCACGCAGGTCTTCGGGAATTTACAGTGATGCCCTTTGGCCTCTGCAGAGCACCTGCTACATTCCAGCGACTCATGGAAATCATGCTCGCAGGTCTCAATTGGGAGTTGTGTTTATTCTATTTGGACAATGTAATAAATTTTCTCGTGCACTTTCGAAAAACAATTAGATAGACTATAATCAGTTATGTCCCGTTTGCGCACAGCTGGTCTTAAGCTCAAGGTTAAGAAATGTACTCAGCGATCATGAACGATCAAATGGAAACCAGGCTTAAAAAAATCTGACTAAGATACATTTCCCTTTGAGGTCATGGTTTAAATTTTTGCAAAGCCTGAGAGGGAAACTTGGATTCACATTTTTCTTGTAGAGGTTTATTGGTATTATCTATGAAAGTAAAAATGATGCAAATGGCATGCAGAAGATCTTAAACAACCTCCAAGGTTATGTTCCAAAATTTGAGGATAATGGAACAATCCAATATTCACAGCAAGGCATTGTAGGAGACCAGTTAACATTTGGAGAAGGAGTAAAAGGTCTGTTTGAGTTTAAAATGGGTACAATGCCACAGAAAGACGTGAGGGATTTCACTTTAAAATTGCAGATTTTCATGGTGGCATATAAGGAGACCAGTTGAGGTATATTTGAATTTTATATCAAATGTGCTGCATTTTACTTACAGAAATTAATACATGGAAAGTAAAGATGAAATATTTCACCAATTTGAATGCTCTGGACCTTGAGTAATGTTCAGTCTAAAGGTGTACAGGCTTGGTCAACCTTTCACAACTCCAAGGAGTCACCAGGGAGTCACCACGAAGTCACCACGGAGTCACCACTGAGTCACCACAAAATTTTTCATTCTTGCATTGGAGGCAAGAGTTGTTTCAGCTGCAATGTTGGAACTTGGAATCACTGATAGTGATGAGCTCCCAGGCCTAGACGGACTACCAGGAAACATTAATACTTTTTCCAAGCAACAATAGGTAGAATGGCTGAATGCATTAGCTACTAAAGTGGTTGATAAATATGTCTTGAATGAAAAAAATGTTCAAGTTCCTAGAGTCGGAAAAGCAAGTGATAGGTATTTGTGTAGGTTTCCTACCTGTCAAAAGTCCTTCTGCTTTGAGAGGAAAAGTTGCCGGGCCCATGAAATGACGCACAGAGGGATAGCATCAAATGGGATTACTAACAAAACTCCCAAGTCATCTTTCATGGAGGTCTAATGTCTATAAACTGTAACAGTATCAAAACTGTTGACAAATGAGCAGAGTTTGCTAGCAAACAAGGCGGTCAGGAATCAAAACTAGACTTAAATTACACGTCATCTGAAGTATTCCAAGAGGATATAACCCATTTTGTAAAGATGGAACAGATAACAGAGTTTTGTCGCTGTTTGTTTCCGTTCGTTGTGGTCGCTGATGATGCCTTCCCCCTTAAAGAATACCTGATGAAACAATATGCACAAAGAGGCCTTACCAAAGAGCAGAGAATTTTCAATTATCATTGAAGTCGTGCAAGGCGCATAGTTGAAAATGCATTTGGGATCCTTTCTAACAGGTTTCGTGTATTTCTCTCCCCAATCATGGTTACTCCAGAAAATGCAGAGAAAATCGTTCTTGAAAGCTGTGCTCTTCACAACTACTTGAGATCAAAAGATTCTGCCAGCTACACACATAATGGGTCTTTCGATTCTGAGTTAGTTGAAACTGGCAAAGCTGTTGCAGGGGAGTGGCGAAATTGTGAACCAACATGATGGCTTCGCTTGCACAACAAGGCTCCAACAGATATTCCAATGAAGCAAAAGAAGTCCGGGAAAGCTTTTCAAAGTATTTCAACACTGCTGGTGCAGTTCCTTGGCAAGATGAATTTGCATTGGTCAACCAGAGAGAACATCATCTTAATTCTAAATGAATAGTTACTTAATATATTTGAGGTTGACTTTCGAGGAACAACGGTAATTCGTAGAAACAATAAAACATTAAAGTAGGGCCTTTTCGATTTGTAAACCTCATTTAGACCATTGCCACTTTTGCTACTCTTTCGAACTTTGGGAATTTTTTTGAGTAGTATGTTTGTAAGTTGTTGACTTTGTTTTTACTTCCTTCACTACAAATATAGAAACAATAATATAGATATAATACGATGATAATAATAATCATGACAATATAAAAACACGAGTTGCAGCGACCAAAAACTAAAGCAATTTATTACGTCAAAACCTCTATTATGTAGAATTTATATTCCATTCAATGAGAGTTATGAGCAAAGGATACACAAAGAGAAGTTATAGAAACAAAAAATTATTTCAACCTACCGGTAATACCAAATTTTGATGCAAGTCGATCCAAACTAGCTTGCTTCTCATTTCTGTCTTTATAGGAAGACTCGAGAACATTCCACAAGCTCCCTTCTTTCTCATATTCAGCAATAAACAATTATGTTTCTTCACTTTTATTGAACTTAGGCAGCGTTGTTTCCATGTTCCCTTTAAAATGACTATAAACAGACTGAAACAATGCGGAACATGGCAATTCGGATGACGTAGCAGCGTGGGTGAGCAAGAATGTCATTCATTCACCTTTCAATTTGTCGAATGGAATAGAACACGTTCGATTCTTGAAAAATCGAATTCGACAATCTGACAATGGCTTTCAACATTCAATTTCTCCTCTTACACGGTCAGATTTTGTCGAATTTGACAATCGAATTCGCTTAAGGGTTTTTTTCTAGATGTTTTAGTCAGCTAGTCATGAAAAGTAAATCTTTGTTGCCAGATGGAAAGTCCATCATGAAATTAGGAGCACAATGAGATGTGAATGTGGCTAAAGCCAATTGCTCTGTCTTAAGTACCTACCAAGTCAACATCCTATCGTTTGTTGAGACAGGAATACCTTATGTAGAATTAATTTTCAAAACCAAGGAGGAGTCATTGAACCTGAAGGAAGATTTCTTATTGATACTAACAGAAATATTTTGCAATAAGAATAAAAAAAATAATGGAGAAAAAAATTATATCAAGTCATTATTACTTCTTGTACAAGAATTTAGCCCTTCTATTTTTAAGGCTTGCAAAAGCACTTATGACATTGGAATTAAAGTCCACAAAGTTCCTTATCAGACTTTTTTCTATTTACAGCATTGTCTCTCCTCTGACATCGTGTTTCTTAAAAATGTCTTGACACGTTTGAGTGTTGAAAACACCTTTTTGCTTCAGAAAAAGACTCCAGTTTTACTCCATCTAGGAAAAGAATGATTCAATGGCATTTTTCAGAACATCTGATGGGAAGCATCGCTCATAACTTGAAAAGGAGTCACTTTCAAATAATGTAGCAGTAATATGTGATCAGTGAAGTCAAATCTCTGGCAGCAATTTGTAATTATTATGTCACACACTTCACGAAAAACTCTTGAATGTTCTGCATCAGATGTCTCATAACATGGCCTTTTGGCAGAAGAATGTATCTGTGAAAAAAGACTAGGTATTATTTCCTTAACATTGTCGATGGCATGGATAAAATACAGTATGCTCTTCTTGATAGATACTGGACATATCTGACGCTTTTGTAATTGAGCATACAGTATATCAACATTAAAACCGAAAACTTTCGGACGATCAAACTTTTGCACAAAATTGTGTCCAAAACTTTAATTGTCCGAAATACTTTCTTGTCCGAAAGTTTTATCGTCGGAAAGTTTGTTTTTTTTAAATAAAGAAAGCACAAATATAGGTTACTTGAAGCGTATTAAACTACATAAATTATCTAAACATTGTTCTTGGCATCTTTCATCAACAGTTTCCCATTGTTCTTCCTCATTTTCATCATTTTCCCAAAACATGTGCCAAGAACTTTCACTTGGCACATGCCCAACAACAGAAGCTTCTCAAAGGTGTTTTGATCCAATACATTTATCGACGCACTGATCCAATACATTTATCATTTATCTACCATCATTGTCCTTCAATCTTTGTCTTTATGTAATGACATCCTTTCTTTTGTTCCATGGTCTTGTGCTGAATTGCATACATATATTCATCAGAACTGGATTCATTGTCCTTGTTGTTATGGCGCTGTAAAGGCTTTACTTGGTTTCTTTTGTTTATTGTTGGGTTGCAATGCATTCTATGAAATGTCTGTCCTTTTTTCGAGTTTTGACAGACACTTGCAAAATCATCAGTTTTATTGCACTTTCGGCAAACCTTCCCTTTTGCAGAACATCTTTGCTCTTGCAGCTATGCTCCTCCACAATTGTTCTCAGCATGTTCTTTGTCCTCTTGCTTTCGGTTTTGCCTGTTGCGCTTGGAATTGGTTCGTCACAAAAGTTTCCTCGGTTTTAGATTCAATGTCCTTCGCTTTGTACAAGCTCATTTCATCTTGCTGACCATCTAATAACATGTCTTTCAATTTTTAATCTGGATCCCTCAGAGCACGTCTTCGTATTTTAGAAGAAGAAGAAATTGGGATTTTCAAATTGACAGTTTGTAGAGAGGTTTCGTAATCTAGTATGAAACTTATCCAGGGTCTCTCCCTCCTCTTGAAGAGTTTGACGAAATTTGTATACCTCGTATCAGCGATTGTTTTGAGGCTCGAAGTAAGCAGTGAGTTTTTCCTTTGCAATTTCATAATCGGCATCAGCCCCAATATCATCAAGTTGGTGAAAAATTTCTCAAACACAAGAACCAGCTTGATACAGAAGTAATGCCCTCTCGGATAGCATCGCGAATTCCACTTTCGATGAGAAACAAATTGAAGTTGCTCAACCAGAGACGCCATCGTGCTGCTAAACTTGATCCAACCTCGCCATCAGGGCTGAATTTGGGTACCGGTTTGAGGTTTAAGGCTGTATGATGCTGTATTTGACTCATCACCAATCTCATAACCTGCACTTTGAGGTTAACGCAAGAGAGAAACTTCCACTTTGCCAACATAACACTCTATGCATCATACAGCGAATAGTATATTAAATAATACAATAGTCTTGCTAATTAGCATCTTTACTCCATAGGGAGAGTCCATATTGTAAAAACTATTTACAAGGATATGACATAATTCTTCAAATATACTTGACACAGTGAGGAAGTGGTGAGAGAAACAGCGAAAAGAAAAATAACACTGCAGGTGGAGAGAGAAGCCAACCCCATGGCCCAGGACTCATCTTCAGAAAGATCAGTCTCTGTGGTGGAAACCTATTGTTTTACAATTTGTCCCTGGAGTAACTTTGCTACAGCGAACATTTGCATCATTTTTCATAGAATGGAAAGTATTTATACTCAAACTATTGCCAGTTGAGGATGGCACGTTTATGGAAAAACTTCATGGAAACGCCGTAAAAGAGGCCAGACCGTTTTTGCTGAAAAATAACAAGACAAAATTACTTTGAACTCAGATCCTTTCGTTGTGGCTTGGAGGCTCAGCCTCTGTTGTGGGGCATATGCATAATTGAATTGTAGGTTTGCATTTCAATGTATTTCTGTACACTTTCACCAAAATTTTACAATCAACACGTCTTAGCAGCTAATTGTGCTAGAAAAAAGATTCAAACATTTAGATTTGAAAGTGACAATCAGCTTGTTTTCTCATATTTATCCCTTTAGCCGAAACAGGCATCAATATCTCGAGCCAATGTTTGATGCAAAGCCTTTAGTAATTAATTGAAATAAAATAGGATACAGTATTTTTTATCAGTCACAGAGTTTTCACTTTTCTCACTTGGTCCAGCTATTTTTATCCTCTTATAAGATTAAAAGAAACTCATTTTTGTCAGAAACTCATCAGCCTGTTTTTCAAAATTTATTCGAAATTAAAGAAAAAGTTCTAGTTATTGATTGCACTCACACTGCCATGCCGTTGCAGTATTTGCAGAGTATGGTTTCATCGTCCAAAGCTGCCATCCAAGGTCTCAGAAATCAGTTGTTCATTCTTTGTGAATGCATTGCTTTTGCGGACAGACCACTTGTAGACCTTAGAATATAGATATGAAATGTCTGGACCCAGGAAGAATTAAACTGATTAAAAGCTTCCAAGCTTTTCCTCAACTCCATTGTCTCTTTTGTGTACATTCCTTCAACGAGAATGAACAAATAATCACCTTAGGCCTATGTATATTACAGATTGTCAAAAAAAAATATGAAGCGAACATACGAAAGATTATCAATACGTTTTCTTACCGGGTGTGTTTATGTTCAATGTTAAGACACTGTGTTGGATCACACAACATCTGCACGCAAGTGATATAGACAATTAGCCGCTGAGGTTTTCTAATCAACCATCGCATATATTTCGATCTATGTAAACGAGATTTTTAAGAAAGAAAATGAAGAAAAAAGAGATGTATTTACCTTAACTGCAACATATCTAAGGCTCAGGCCGCATTTGTTTTCAACCACCGATTTTTGTTGTTAAGGTAACCACAGTGAAAGAGTCTATTAGCCTACATTAAGTATAAGTTATCGCAATTGTGACTCTGCAACCCCCAGGTTAAGAGTTTCTCAAAAATTTTCCATAACATTGATGAAAATGCCATCCAAATGGTTTGCAGGACTAACAATGTTTCTAGAACTGTTTTTCCCATGCAGAAAGTTTCAATGTGGTCTTCACTCAAAAATATTCAGGAAGCAGAAACACAAAAGGAGATTCTTCGCAGCAGTTGATAACTTGAATTTCTTGGGGTTATTGGATTTCTTTGTCAAATGAAAGACATGTCGAACAAGAATCAAAATTGATTGATTCATTGCTTCAATCTTATTGGTGTAACTTTGAGAGTAACAGGTTCAGATTAGGACAACAAAACAAGCTTGAAGCCAGTATCACAACTCAGAAACACAGATTTCATTTGAACAGCAAATTTAAGCAAAGCACTTATTAATGATTCCATTGGTTGCTCGGAAAATTGCCACATGCATGACAGCTTTCCGTGGGTTCAAGAAGTGTGTTCCTTGGTATATCAACCACAAATATAGAACAATAATGGACAAAGCAACTGATGAGATAATCTCTTTATTTGATTATAGGAAGCAAGAATTAAGTAGACATCTACTTTCATCAGTAGGGGTATATTACGAGGGTGAAGTTTTCCATGTTTGTGAGTATATTGCATCCAAACTGAACTTTTTTTAACTTGATGATTGTTTGATTGATTTTAAAAAATTTGCATAATACTTTTATTGCCTCTTTTCCTGCCACAGATTCCTGTTGGTTTAGTCATGAAAAACGAGTCAATAGGTGCTAAAATGATAGATATCTTGGAATTAGTACAACATCGATATATTCCTTGCATCAAGGCGGGAGATAGTGAAAATAGAAAGAAGCAGATTGTCGAGAAACTATTTTTGGTGGTGATAATTTGACAGAGGAGCGAGCATGGAACATACAAGTAGCAATGGCTCATGGAGAAACTGCGTATGAATGTCTCAAAGGAATTAGTGAAATTTCGAAAAATGAAGTCTGGGATGCTTGTTGACTGTATAAAGTTGGTTAACTTTAGGAGTGCAATTTAGGTGTGTCATATGATGTTAACTTGCTGGACACAGTTTAGTCACATCGTTTCTGTTTTAAACAAAGTCGAAAGAAGAATGTTGAAAGTATAATGATATTGAGAATGTTTGTTGGACTGAAATTATGTTGGGTATGATATGAGAAGCAATTTCAAGAAAAAGTTTGTCATCAAACCTGCTGAGAACAAAAAGAATCTAAATTCAGACTGTCATCAGACTGAAAACTTGCGATTATTTCATAAAGCAGATTATGACCAAGATGAAGCTGGCCAGAAGACTGGTGCAAACCATAAAATAAACATGGCTAATTCAAGCTTACAGGCTGGGGCACATTTGCTACAAATTGAACTGCACAAGACACGATAATGTTGCAAAGTCAGGCCTCTTTTATAAAAGCTCAGGAATAACTGCCTTCAAATAAAGCTTGAGGAACACAACTCTCTTGATGAACAGATTATTCTCTTCAAAGGATGAAGTAGCCTGAGCAGGTATTTACCAAAAAGCCAAAGAAATCTGGATTTAAGCTGTTTTCACAAAATAGGTAGAGTGGATTTTGCTATGCTTTGACATGGATGGAGCCCCGAATCATGTGAAATATTTTCTTATGAACAAAATTTGACATCTGTGGGCTTGATTACTTAATGATTATTTTATAATTGCACTTAGCTGTTATTACAATATCACACATTCTCTTATTTTTATTCCCTTCTAAAATTGTTTAATTCTCATTGATGTTCTATAAAATATTGCGGTTGACCATTCATTCGTATTTAGCCAAATTAACTTGGATATTGTATATTTAGTATAATTATGTTAACTGGTATATTGTAATTAATCAATTTTATGTTGAAAAAAATATTTTGAGTGTGAGTTTGAGACTGTAGGTCAAAGTTATAAGCTATATTTTGATAACTATTTCACCTGTGTTGTGTTGTTACTGAGATTGAAGGAATCAAAGTTTTGAGCAATTGGCACACTTTGTCAAGAAAGACTTAAAGGATGCCAATTGAAATCTGAAAAAGAATTGAAAAAAGAGAGCCGTGGCTCTTTTGATGCCTTTGTTGATGTAAATTCAGGTTTGACTTTTGTTGGTCCAATTTGCATCCAATTATGTTTACACAGAACCAGTTGAATCAGTAAGGATATGGCCTTCAAGTAAAAGGATATAAATTGAAGTAGGAAGACCAGCAATTGTTGAGGCATACAGCAGAGGTATGGGCTTTGTGGATCTATTTGATGTGTTCCAAGCACTTTACAGGATGGGGCACAGGAGCAGAAAAGGCAACATGAGGATTTTTTTGGATCCTTGGAACATTTCTATAAATGCATGGATTTTGTACAGGAGACTTGCAAAGCTAAAATAAGTCCCAACTTGCTAGACTTCACTTCACTTGTAGCAAAAGCACTTGTGAAGGAAGTAGTGGAGAAATAAAGGAAGAAGTCGGCCTAACAGTGAAGCAGTAGAAAATTCCAAGAGACCAAGGAGAGCTCCAGATACGCTAGGTCCTGGAGCAACCACTTGCTTTGTTGGGAAAAAACACTTGCCTGTCCATAGACAGGATAGACTGAGTTGTATTACATATCGAGGGAAAACAAGACTGGGATTTCAAAAATGTGAAAAAGAATTATGCTTGACTGACAAAAAGGAACAGCTTTTTGACATTTCAAAAGAACTATATGACATTTTCAATTGAAATATTTGTAAAAAGAATGCTCTTGGTGATTTTTCATAATAAGTATTTTCAAAATATTGCTTTCTTATCAGCTGGTTCTGTACCATTAGTTTCCCTGAGTTCCGGCAAGGACCATATAGTCCTGCCCCCAAATTTACCCCAAATGACAATCAATTTAAAATTTAACAATGAAAATCAAATTTAGATATTTTGATTAAGAGACAATTTGGAAAAATATCATAAAAGAAGCTCGAAAGGAAGTGCTTCCTTAAAACCAACCTTGGAAGCTGACGTCAGTATTCCAAGACTTTTGGCAGGTATTGTAGTAACTACTCATAACATTTATTTCTGCCCATTTTTTCAGTCAAAATTTTTTACTCGAAATAATTTTTGATGCGGCAAAAATGATAGACTATGACCCCCAAAACCCAGCTCCCAGAGCGGCAAAAATATTTGTTTAACAAGAGGAAATTATGCGGTGTTGATCCATCTTCATATTCTCCATAAATTCATCTCAAATCATCAGATCTATCAGCCATAATATCAGGAATGAGGCATGAGAATGGTAGAAAAATGATCCATCAGTGAATTCTCCTATCAACATACACTGAAGCTCAATGCATAAATCACTAGAACAAAGATGCTAGAGGCAAAGCTCGCAAAATGATTGGTAAGTCAGTCGAATAAATTGGGAATCTGCGCGGTCATCTTTTAACAAAGCTTTTCTGCACCAGGCAAAAATGCTATTGTTCTCGTAAGTCAGTAGAGGCGATGTATGATCAAGAAGGCCAATTATTTTTACAGGAGTTAGTATGAGAATTTTTTTGGGGTCCGGACAACGTATGGATTTTAAGACTGACTTCCACTGACTTACCAATCATTTGCAGCCAAGCCAAAACAATACCCTCCTGCCCAGCATTTCTGCATCTCAGTACAGCAAATGCTTGGCAGAGGTTTTCGTATTTGTGTCTGAGGAATTAGCTACATTCCGGATACAACATGGATATTTTAGAGTTAGTTGAGTCGCTTATTGTCTCTAATGACACAGAGAGACTTCATAGCATTTACGCTGATAATATCAGGGCATTTGGGAAGCAAACATCTATCTCTGTATCTGCAGCTCTTGGCCTTCCGAGGGACTTTGCAGCACAACATTTTATCCCTTGGAACAGACTGGATATAGCAGGAGAAAAAACTGCTTACGCAGGAAGGTATGGTTTTAATATTGAAATTGTTGTAAAACCTTGGCAAATTAGCAACCTTGGCAAGTAGGTAATGCTGGTAGTGGTAGATCTTAGCTAGATAATATTTTTGCCATCCTAACGCTTTTCGGCGGGAAATTTAAGTTTAGACAGCAGCAACAACAAATGCATGATTGAGTTTGCTGCTCAAATGGCTGAGGGTCCATTCTCATCTTGTGGGGCCCTTAATTTTTCAACAAGTTTTGAAAGCTTTGTTTTGATAATAAGATCCCTATTCCAGGGTGCATTCCTTGTAAACCTTATGCCAAAGGTACACCAAGGCTAGGCCAGGTGTATGCCAAGGTCCACTGCCATAAAAATCTAACCAAAAGACTTCGCCAACAGCCCCACCCCATCATAATTCTAAGACAAGTTATTCTCTTTATGACGGTCACATACATATCCACTCATGCTGGTAGGGTTCGGGTCAGGATCTAGTGTACTAGAGCAAGACCGTCAGAAGCAGGGGTGCTTGAGCCCCCAATAATTGTTAAACTGTGCCAGATTTCCTTTATAATAGTGTACTGAATGGAAAGCAATACAACAGGCAGCCAACCCACCCCCAATTTGAGTTTTGTTCAGAAGAGGTATGCTAGTGCATTGGTATCACATGGCAGGCATCATATTGTTTCAGCCTGTCTAAGAAATTATATTTTCAATAGTTTACAACCCATGGTGACAAAATCAGTATTAGAGTTCATAAAAAATTAACAGAAAAAGCTCCCTGCCCCTCAGGTACAATTTCACCAAAATTCTAGTGTGCACCATATGCCAAAAGATGCTTATCTCACACAAATGCCATACCAAACAATTTAACTTCACTCCAAAGACCTTTAAAATTTACTGCATGGGATGCACCCTGGTCCCCATTCAGGAAACTGCAGCACAAACCATTGACCTCAACACATTGAAGGTCAGATTAAGTCAAATTTTAAAAAGGTTAAAAAGTTGCAGTTTTATTTTAACCTTACACGCATTCAAATACTGTAAGAAGGTGACAAGTGGCATTGTTAGTTATACTACATGACATAAGCCATTTAATGTTATTTTTACTAGGTTCTAGTAGCAAATTTCATTTTGGCTCCCTGGTTGTTTAAATTTGATGAAGTTTCAATTTGGGTGTAATTTAAGCTAAACTGTTGTTTAGGGTCAAGGAGGATGGAAACTGCATGTACAATGCCTGTTCTTTGGCTATCAGTGGAAAAGAAGACATGTCTCATCTACTGAGAGCATTAACATCTGCTGAACTTTACCTCTATTCTGAATTCTATGCCTCTCATCCCCATTTTGCAACACTTCTTGCCTCTGAAAGATCTTCTGCCCTCTTGGTAACTTTCTTTTCTCATTCAATTTCCCATGAAGCAAGTGATTTGCTTACAGGTTTTTTTAAAAATTATGCTGATTGTGTTAAACATGAGGCACTCAAAAACTGTCAGGATAGGAGGTGGAGCCCATTTATTTGCATCATGGCATTATCTAATGTTCTTGGTCTGCCTGTATTTTCCTTTTATCCAGAAACTTGTGGTAGAAGGTATGCTATAAATTTAAGCAATGCAAAAATTTTTCCACGAGATGGTACTTGTCAAAATATTGAACCAATCCGACTACTTTGGTCCAAAGCAGGTGGTGGTAAAAATGACCTTAATCCATCCTTCAAAGCAAACCATATTGTTCCACTTTTCCTGGCAGAGAAGGGCTCTTTACAACAACCTGTAATATCCACTATTGTTCCTAAGAATGAACAGTGCCCAAAATGGAAGCAGCCAGAAAAGCAAGCCGAGATTTCTTTTCCCAAAAAGGTTTCAATTAAGATGCCTTTGGAATCAGTGAATCCAAGAGAGAATGAAACTGTAGAACCAAACCAACTTTCATCAGCATCAAATCTTCAAAATCTGATTGCCAATGTGACAGACATTGGATCTTTTTACCTGAATACTGCTAGTATGACAGATATGGAGAGGTATGAAAAGATGCTTAATGTTTGGAAGCCAGATCCAAAATTTGCATTTCCAAGCAGACAAATTCATGGAAAAAGCAGGAAATTTGTATATTCTTGGCTCATAAATTACCCTTGGCTTGCATACTCGAAGCTATTAGATGGTACTTTTTGTCTACCATGTGTTCTGTTTGGGAGAAAAACTGGTCAAAATGCATCTAAACTGGATAAGTTGATGAAAAGCCCTTTGACAGATTGGTCTTCTGCAAGTTATAGAATTAAAGAGCATCAAAATAAGTCAGAAATTCATAAAACTGCACTCGAAACGATGAACAGGTTTAAGAATGTCATGGAAAGCAAAGAGAAACCCATCGATCTTATTCAAAATAAATCTTTAGACAAAGCTGTGCAGCAAAATAGGTTGAAGTTAGCTTCTATTGCCAAATGTGTTCTTCTATTTGCAAGACAAAATATTCCTTTACGTGGTCACAGAGATGATTCACAATACTACGATACAAGTGATTGTGGCAATTTTCAAGCACTTTTAGATTTTCGCGTTGAAAGTGGTGATAGGATCTTGGCAGAACATTTCAAGACGGCTCCCCGAAATGCAACATTCAAATCAAAGACTGTGCAAAATGAACTTATTTCTTGTATTGCAGAAGATGTGAACCACCAAATAATAAAGGAAATCAAGGAATATGGTCCTTATTCAATTTTAGCGGATGAAGTCTCGATTGTTCTAATCAGCAACAGATGCCTTTGGTCATACGTTATGTTGATGGGAATGGAGATATTCAGGAACGATTCATGAAATACATAATTTGTGACACTGGAACAACTGGAGATGCTCTGAAAACAAAGATTTTGAATTGTATTACAAATGATTTGAATTTGGATATTATGGATTGCAGGGGACAGTGCTATGATAGTGCTGGTAATATGGCTGGAAAGTACTCTGGTGTTGCATCTCGAATCCTTGAGATTAATGACCAAGCTCTTTTTACGCATTGTGCTTCACACAGGCTAAATCTTGCTGTTGCTGCTTCATGCAAACTGCAGTGTATTAAAAATATGATGGAATTTATTCGGAAAATCGCTCACTTTTTTCATACTCCAAAACGACAACTTCTATTGGAACAGATGGTAAAAAAGCATTTGAAGAACTATTCACATACAAAGCTTATAAATCCTTGCGAGACAAGATGGATTCTTCGCATCGATGCTTTGGAAAGATTTATGGATATGTACATCCCAATATCAGAAGCTATGCGAACCATTCGTGACAACATAGACGGAAATTGGGACGATTGCTCTGCTGATGCCTTCACCTATTTCTTTGCACTACAAAGTTTTGAATTTATCATGACGCTGATTATTGCTAGAATGCTCCTGTGCTATACACGTTCAGCAACCATTCGCAATTCCGTTTTTGGACCATTTTCTTCAAGAGCTGCCTAAAAGATTTTCTCCCCAAAATCGCATTGCAATAAAAGGAATTTCCATAGTCCCTGGGATGCTCCAAGCAGAATACAACAACAAAAGTGGCCAAAAGCGAAACTGGAAGGAAACCTTAGAAAGTGGTATGGAAGACGTAAACAATGGAACATATGCTTCTTCTATCACCGATGTATCGTTATCTGATGTTAGGAAAGTGGGGCAGCCAGCACTAACTAAGAAAGCACCAGCAAGCAAAACTAACATTGAACAGAAAGCAGTCACAATCCAACGCTGTGATAAGCTGTGGAAAAAAAATCTTGAGACATTTTGCAATCAATATGCCAATGATTTGCCTGACATATCCTTCATCTCCCACGAGGTAGACAACTTGGAATCTGCCTGGATAGATGTTCCAGGACAGCCTAAAAATATTTTGGACACTTTGAAGATGACCAATAAGATTTCATTTCCAAACATATACGCCTGTCTCAAAATACAGGCTGTTTTGCCAGTAACATCGTGCACTTGTGAACGGTCTGCTTCCTCTGTTAGACTGCTCAAAACATATCTAAGAAGTAGGATGACCTTAGAACGACTGAATGGCCTAGCAACAACATACACTCACCGGGATAAAAAGGTAGATATTGAAAAAGTTATTAATAACTTTGCAAGGAAAAAAAAGCGGAGATTAAAACTTGTAAATATTCTTGACACTGACAACAATATGGAAACCATTGATGAAGCTATAGTTTCTGAAATATATTAGAACAGTTATCAGTTTATAAGAATCCCAATGAAGTCATAACAAAGTAACCAAAGTATTAAAGTAACACATCAATTTGTTCTACATCAAAGTGGATCCAAATATCCTTATTAAGTAAAGCACAGGAAAGGACAGTATCCAGCAATATAATATATTTTTATCTTTCAATGGATAACAGTTTCTGAATATCATATTCCTATTAAGTGAAGCACAGCAAAGGACAGTATCCAGCAATGCCATATCTTTTTATCTTTCAATGAAGAACAGTTCCTGAA